ATCTCCCAAATTTCCCCATCCCAAATCTCGCAAATTTCCCCATCCCAAATCGGATTCCAGCTGGGAAAATCCATTTAAAAATCCAGAAAAAAATCCAGGGGCAAAAAATCCCCAAAAAACAGAAAAACACAAAAAAACCCCCACCCCCCACCCCCTGAAAAAAATCCCCCTAAAATTCCAGAAAATTCCAAAAATCCCAGGAATTTCCCCATTCCCCAAATCCTGGGATTTTGTCCCAAGCTGGGAAAATCCAGAAAAGAAAAAAATCCAGGGGAAAAAAGGGGGGGAAAATCTGAAAAAAAATCCTGAAAAAATTCCAGAAAACCTGGAGATTCCCAGGAATTTCCACGGGAAAAGCCCCAAAAAGTGGGAATTGCTCGGGGCGGGACCTGCTGGGGCAGAGGCGCTGCCGGAGGCCGCGGCGGTCGACGAAGCTGCAGAGGATCTCCAGGACGAAAATTCGGATTTCGGGGTCGGGGAGGAGCGCGGGCGACAGCAGCCGCTCCAGGAAGGCGCCGGGCAGCGCCGTCAGCAGGCTGCTGCACTGGAAACCCGCCGAGACCTGGGGGGAAAACGGGGGGAAAAAACGGGAAAATGGGAAAAAGGGGACGGGTTAGAGAGACTGGGGGGAACGCAGAAAAAATCCCAAAGGATTCCCAAAAATGCCCCCACGAATTCCTTAAAATCACCCCTAAAATCCCAAAGGATTCCCAAAAATTCTGGAAAAAAACCCAGAGAAATCCCCATGAAAAAATCCCAAAGGATTCCCAAAAATGCCACCAAGAATTCCTTAAAATCACCCCTAAAATCCCAAAGGATTCCCTAAAATCCCAGAGAATCCTACAATCCCAAAGGATTCCCAAAAATGCCCCAAAGAATTTCCCAAAAATTTCAGTAAAAAAATCCCCTAAAATCCCAAAGGATTCCCAAAAATTCTGGAAAAAAACCCCAGAGAAATCCCCATGAAAAAATCCCAAAGGATTCCCAAAAATGCCCCCAAGAATCCCCCAGAATTCCCTAAAATCACCCCTAAAATCTCTAAAAATCTCGAAAAAAACCCCAGAGAAATCCCCATGAAAAAAATCCCAAAGGATTCCCAAAAATGCCCCCAAGAATCCCCAAGAATTCCCTAAACTCACCCCTAAAATCCCAAAAATCTCGAAAAAAACCCCAGAGAAATCCCCATGAAAAAAATCCCAAAGAATTCCCAAAAAACCCCAAAACGCCCCAAAGAATACCCAAAAAATTCCAGGAAAAATATCCCAAAAAAGTCCCCCAAAAATTCCAGGCAAAAAAATTCCCCAAAATGCCAAAGGATTCCCAAAAATCCCGGAAAAAACCCCAGAGAAATCCCCATGAAAAAATCCCAAAGAATTCCCTAAAATCCCAAAGGATTCCCAAAAATCCCAAAAAACCCCAGAAAAATCCCCATGAAAAAATCCTAAAGAATTCCCAAAAATCTTGGAAAAAGACCCAAAAATTCCCAAATTATTGCCAAAAATCTTGGAAAAAAACCCCAAAAATCCCAAAGAATTTCCAAAAATTCCAGGAAAAAAAAAAATCCCCTAAATCCATGAAAAACCCCAAAGAATTCCCAAAAAAACCCCAAAATGCCCCAAAGAATTCCCAAAAAATTCCAGGAAAAAAATCCCCCAAAAATTCCAGGAAAAAATCCCCTAAAATCCCAAAGGTTTCCCAAAAATGCCCCCAAAAATCCCCAAGAATTCCCTAAAATCACCCCTACAATCCCAAAGGATTCCCAAAAATCACGAAAAAACCCCCAGAGAAATCCCCACGAAAAACCCCAAAGAATTCCCAAAAAACCCAAAATGCCCCAAAGAATTCCAGGGAAAAAATCCCAAAAAAAGTCCCCCAAAAATTCCAGGAAAAAAATCCCCTAAAATCCCAAAGAATTCCCTAAAATCCCAGAGAAACCTAAAATCTCAAAGGATTCCCAAAAATGCCCCCAAGAATTCCCTAAAATCACCCCTAAAATCCCAAAGAATTCCCAAAAATCTCAAAAAAAACCCCAGAGAAATCCCCATGAAAAAATCCCAAAGAATTCCCAAAAACGCCACAAAGAATCCCAAAGAATTCCCCAAAAATTCCAGGAAAAAAATCCCCTAAAATCCCAAAGGATTCCCAAAAATCCCAGAAAAAAACCAAGAGAAATCCCCACGAAAAACCCCAGAAGAATTCCCAAAAAACGCCCCAAAGAATGCCCCAAAAATTCCAGGGAAAAAATCCCCTAAAATCTCAAATTCCCAAAAATCCCAGAGAAACCTAAAATCCCAAAGGATTCCCAAAAATGCCTCCAAGAATTCCCTAAAATCACCCCTACAATCCCAAAGGATTCCCAAAAATCCCGGAAAAAAACCCCAGACAAATCCCCTTGAAAAAAATCCCAAAGAATTCCCAAAAAAACCCAAAAACGCCCCAAAGAATCCCCCAAAAATTCCAGGAAAAATATCCCAAAAAAATCCCCCAAAAATTCCAGGAAAAAATTCCCCTGAAATCTTAAAGAATTCCTGAAAATCTCAGGAAAAAACCCTCAAAAAAACTCACCAAAAATCCCTAAAAGATCCCCAAAAAAACCCCAAAAAACGGCAAAGGATTTGAAAAAATCCATAAAATCCCAAAGAATTCCCAAAAATCCTGGAGAAAATCCCCAAAAATTTACAAAAATAAAAAAAAATCCCCACAATCTCCTCTAAAATCCCAAAGAATTCCCAAAAATCACCTCTAAAGTTCAAAAAAATTCCCAAAAATTCCAGAAAAAAACATTAAAAAATCACAAAAAAACCCCAAAAGTTCCCAAAAATCCCAAAGAATTCCCAAAAATCCCCAAAAATCCCCCAAGAATTCCCAAAACACCCCAAAGAATTCCCAAAAAATCCCCCCAAATCCCAAAGAATTCAAAAAAAATCCCAGAAAAATCAACAAAAAAAAACTCACAAAAAAACCCCAAAAGTTCCCAAAAATCCCAAAGAATTCAAAAAAAATCCCAGAAAAATCAACAAAAAAAAACTCACAAAAAAACCCCAAAAGTTCCCAAAAATCTCAAAGAATTCCCAAAAAATCCCCCCAAATCCCAAAGAATTCAAAAAAAATCCCAGAAAAATCAACAAAAAAAAACTCACAAAAAAACCCCAAAAGTTCCCAAAAATCTCAAAGAATTCCCAAAAAATCCCCCCAAATCCCAAAGAATTCAAAAAAAATCCCAGAAAAATCAACAAAAAAAAACTCACAAAAAAACCCCAAAAGTTCCCAAAAATCTCAAAGAATTCCCAAAAAATCCCCCCAAATCCCAAAGAATTCAAAAAAAATCCCAGAAAAATCAACAAAAAAAAACTCACAAAAAAACCCCAAAAGTTCCCAAAAATCTCAAAGAATTCCCAAAAAATCCCCCCAAATCCCAAAGAATTCAAAAAAAATCCCAGAAAAATCAACAAAAAAAAACTCACAAAAAAACCCCAAAAGTTCCCAAAAAATCACAAAGAATCCCCAAAAATTCCCAAAAATCTTGGACAAAACCCAAAAAATCCCATAGAATTCCCAGAAATCTCAAAGGATTCCCAAAAATCTTGGAAAAAACCCCCCCAAAACATCCCAAAGAATTCCCAAAAATCTTGGAAAAAAACCCAAAAAATCCAAAAGAATTCCCAAAAATCCCGAAAAAACCCCAGAGAAATCCCCATGAAAAAAATCCCACAGAATTCCCAAAAAAAGCCCAGAAATACCAAAGGATTTACAAAAATCCCCAAAGAATTCCCAAAAAAAACCCCCAGGATCCCAAGAATTCCCAAAAATCCCCAGAACACCCCAAAGAATTCCCAAAAATCTTGGAAAAAAACCCAAAAAAATCCCATAGAATTCGCAAAAATCCCAAAGAATTCCCAAAAATCCTGGAAAAAACCCCAAAAAATCCAAAAGAATTCCCAAAAATCCCGAAAAAACCCCAGAGAAATCCCCATGAAAAAAATCCCACAGAATTCCCAAAAAAAGCCCAGAAATACCAAAGGATTTACAAAAATCCCCAAAGAATTCCCAAAAAAAACCCCCAGGATCCCAAGAATTCCCAAAAATCCCCAGAACACCCCAAAGAATTCCCAAAAATCGTCCAAAACCACAGAAAATCCCCAAAAATGCCCAGGAATTTCCAAAATATTCCAGGAAAAAATGCCCTGAACTCCTGTAGAATTCCCAAAAATCCCCCCCCCAAAAATCCACAAAAAATTCCCTGAAATCCCAAAAGAATTCCCAAAAATCACCTCTAAAGTTCCGCAGAATTCCCAAAAATCCCCCAAAAAATTTCCCCAAATTTTCCAAAAATTCAAAAAAATCCCAAAAACCTCCCCTAAAATCCCAAAGAATTCCCAAACATCCTAAAGAATTCCCAAAAATCCCAAAGAAAATCCCCCAAAACTTCCAAAAATAAAAAAAATCCCAAAAATTCCCCCCAAATCCCAAAGAAATTCCAAAAAAATCCACAAAAATTTCCCTGAAATCCTGAAGAATTCCCAAAAATCACCTCTAAAGTCCAAAAAAAATCCCAAAAATTCCAGAAAAAAAAAAATTAAAAAAACCACAAAAAAACCCCAGAAGTTCCCAAAAAATCAGAAAGAATCCCAAAAAATTCCCAAAAATCTTGGAAAAATCCCAAAGAATCCCAAAGAATTCCCAAAAATCTTGGAAAAAACCCCAAAAATCCCAAAGAATTCCCAAAAATCCCAAAGAATTCCCAAAAACGGCTCCAAAATCTGCTCAAATCCCCAAGAATTCCCAAAACCCCCCCCCAAAATCCCAAAGAATCCCAGAGAATTCCCAAAAAATCCCGGAATTCCCAGGAATCGGGGCTGTCCCACCTGGAGCAGGGATTTGAGGAGCATGATCTGCGTCAGGCGGTTCCGGTTCTCCTTCCTGGAAAACAAAAACATCCCAAAAAGTTGGGAATTCCGGGAATTCCGGGAATTCCCACTCTGGGAATTCGAGGAATTCTGGGAATTCCTGCTCTGGGAATTCCAGGAATTCTGGGAATTGGGGGCGGGGCTCGCCCGGCAGATCCTGATCCCGCTGCCGGGAATTTTGGGAATTCTCAGAATTCCAGGAATTCTGGCTCTGGGAAGTTGGGGAATTGTGGAAATTTGGGAATTCCGGGAGCCATTGGGGGGGTGGGGAGTGGAGATTCTGACCCCATTCCTGGGAATTTTGGGAATTCTGGGAATTCTGAGAATTGGGGGTGGGGTTCAGCCAGGGGATCCTGATCCTAGCCCTGGGAATTCTGGAAATTCCAGGTCTGGGAATTCTTAGGATTTTGGGAATTCTGGGAATTCCATGAATTGGGGGCAGGGCTCATCTGTCAGATCCTGATCCCACTCCCGGGAATTTTGGGAATTCTGGGAAATCCGGGAATAGGGGGTGGGGTTCACCCACTGGATCCTGATCCTACTCCTGGAATTTTTGGGGTTTTTTTTGGAATTTTGGGAATTCCGGGATTTGGTGGCAGGGCTCACCCAGGGGATCCTGATCCTGCTCCCAGGAATTTCAGGAATTCTGGGAATTCCAGGAACTGGGGGTGGGGCTCACCCGAGGGATGCAGAGTCCACTCCCGGGAATTTCAGGAATGGTCGGAATTCCAGGAATTCTGGGAATTCTGGGAATTGGGGGCTGGGCTCACTCATCAGATCCCGATCCCACTCGCAGGAATTTTGGGAATTGTTGGAATTCCAGGACTCTGGGGCGGGGCTCAGCCATCAGATTCTGATCTCTGGAGGGTTCCGGGAATGTTTGGAATTCCGGGAATTCTCAGGGATGGGAATTCCCGGAATTGGGGGCTGGGCTCACCCGTCAGATCCTGATCCCAACCCGGGGAATTTTGGGAATTCTGGAATTCCGGGAATGGGGGGGGGCGGGGCTCACCCGTCAGGCTCGGATGCCGGCTCCAGGGAGTTTTGGGAATGTCGGGAATGTCGGGAATTCTCGGGGATGGGCACCTTGTTCATGATGAAAACCATCACCTCCGACTGCTGGTACGGCGGCAGCGTCGCCGAGAACGAGCCTGGGAACGCCGCAACAAGCGGGAACAACAGCAACTGTGGGAATGACAACGGGAATGACAACAACAGCGGGAATGATGGCAACAACAGCGGGAACGGCCACAGGAACGACGGCGGGAACGACGGGAATGACAACAGCGGGAACAACAGCAACTGTGGGAATGACAACGGGAATGACAACAACAGCGGGAATGACGGCAACAACAGCGGGAATGACAACGGGAACAACAGCGGGAATGACAACAGCAACAACAGCGGGAATGACAACGGGAACAACAGCGGGAATGGCAACAGCAACAACGGCGGGAACAACAACGGCAACAACAGCGGGAATGCCAACGGGAACAACGGCGGGAATGACAACGGGAACAACAGCGGGAATGACAACGGCAACAACAGCGGGAATGACAACGGCAACAACAGCGGGAATGACAACGGCAACAACAGCGGGAATGACAACGGCAACAACCGCGGGAATGACGGCAACAGCAACGGGAATGATGGCAACAACGGCGGGAACGGGAACAACCGCGGGAATGACAACGGGAACAACAGCGGGAACGATGGCAACAACGGCGGGAATGGCAACGGGAACAACAGCGGGAACGGCAACAACAACGGGAACGGCGGCAACAACAGCGGGAATGACAATGGGAATGACAACAGCGGGAATGACAACGGCAACAACAGCGGGAATGACGGCAACAACAGCGGGAATGACGGCAACAACAGCGGGAATGACGGCAACAACAGCGGGAATGACGGCAACAACAGCGGGAATGACGGCAACAACAGCGGGAATGACGGCAACAACAGCGGGAATGACGGCAACAACAGCGGGAATGACGGCAACAACAGCGGGAATGACGGCAACAACAGCGGGAATGACGGCAACAACAGCGGGAATGACGGCAACAACAGCGGGAATGACGGCAACAACAGCGGGAATGACGGCAACAACAGCGGGAATGACGGCAACAACAGCGGGAATGACGGCAACAACAGCGGGAATGACGGCAACAACAGCGGGAATGACGGCAACAACAGCGGGAATGACGGCAACAACAGCGGGAATGACGGCAACAACAGCGGGAATGACGGCAACAACAGCGGGAATGACGGCAACAACAGCGGGAATGACGGCAACAACAGCGGGAATGACGGCAACAACAGCGGGAATGACGGCAACAACAGCGGGAATGACGGCAACAACAGCGGGAATGACGGCAACAACAGCGGGAATGACGGCAACAACAGCGGGAATGACGGCAACAACAGCGGGAATGACGGCAACAACAGCGGGAATGACGGCAACAACAGCGGGAATGACGGCAACAACAGCGGGAATGACGGCAACAACAGCGGGAATGACGGCAACAACAGCGGGAATGACGGCAACAACAGCGGGAATGACGGCAACAACAGCGGGAATGACGGCAACAACAGCGGGAATGACGGCAACAACAGCGGGAATGACGGCAACAACAGCGGGAATGACGGCAACAACAGCGGGAATGACGGCAACAACAGCGGGAATGACGGCAACAACAGCGGGAATGACGGCAACAACAGCGGGAATGACGGCAACAACAGCGGGAATGACGGCAACAACAGCGGGAATGACGGCAACAACAGCGGGAATGACGGCAACAACAGCGGGAATGACGGCAACAACAGCGGGAATGACGGCAACAACAGCGGGAATGACGGCAACAACAGCGGGAATGACGGCAACAACAGCGGGAATGACGGCAACAACAGCGGGAATGACGGCAACAACAGCGGGAATGACGGCAACAACAGCGGGAATGACGGCAACAACAGCGGGAATGACGGCAACAACAGCGGGAATGACGGCAACAACAGCGGGAATGACGGCAACAACAGGGGGAACAACGACCGCAACGACAGCGGGAACGACCACGGGAACGACAGCGGGAACGACGGGAATGACAACAGCGGGAACAACAGCAACTGTGGGAATGACAACGGGAATGACAACGGGAATGACAACGGGAATGACGACAGCGGGAACGACAACAACAGCGGGAACAACGGCAACAACAGCGGGAATGACAACGGGAATGACAACAACAGCGGGAATGATGGCAACAACAGCGGGAACAATGGCAACAACAGCAGGAACGACAGCAACAACAGGAACGACTGCGGGAATGACAACAACGGGAATGGCAACAACAGCAGGAATGACCACGGGAATGACAGCACAACAGCGGGAACAACGGCAACAACAGCGGGAACAACCACGGGAACGACGGCGGGAATGACAGGAATGACAACAGCGGGAATGACAACAACAGCAGGAACAACGACCGCAACGGCGGGAATGACAGCGGGAACAGCAACAACAGCGGGAACGGCAACGGGAACGACGGCGGGAATGACAATGGGAATGACAACGGAATGACAACAGCGGGAATGACAACAACAGCAGGAACAACGACCGCAACGGCGGGAATGACAGTGGGAACGGCAACAACAGCGGGAACGGCAACGGGAACGACGGCAGGAATGACAATGGGAATGACAACAGTGGGAACGACGGCAACAACAGCGGGAACGACCACGGGAACAACGGGAATGACAACAGGAATGACAATGGGAATGACAACAGCGGGAACGACGACAGAGGGAACGACGACAACAGCGGGAACGACAGCAGGAACGACAACGGGAATGACCGCGGCGGGAACGATAACAACAGCGGGAAGGACAACGGGAACGACCGCAGCAGTAATGACAACGGGAATGACAACAACGGGAATGACGATGGGAATGACAGCGGGAATGACGACAGCGGGAACGACCGCAACGGCAGGAACGACCACGGGAATGACAACGGGAACGACCGCGGCAGTAATGACAACGGGAATGACAATGGGAATGACAGCGGGAATGACGACAGCGGGAACGACCGCAACGGCAGGAACGACCACGGGAATGACAACGGGAATGACAGCGGGAATGACGACAGCGGGAATGACAATGGGAATGACAGTGGGGATGACAGCGGGAATGTCGGGAATGACAATGGGAATGACAGCGGGAATGACGACAACGGGAGTGACAACGGGAATGATGACAACGGGATTGGTGGTAGTGGTGGGAAATACGGGAATGGGAATGGTGGGAATGACAATGGGAATGACAATGGGAATAACAGGAATGATGGGAATGATGGGATTAACAGGAATGGGACGAATGGGAATGATGGGAATGGGAATGATGGGAGTGATGGAATTAACAGGAATGGGAATGGGAATTATGGGAATGATGGGGACGGGAACGGTGGGAATGACAATGGGAATAACGGGAATGATGGGAATGACAGGAATGGGAATGGTGGGAATGATGGGAATAACGGCAGGAATTATGGGAATAACGAGAATGGGAATGGCAACGGGAATGACGGCAATGGGAATGACAGTAATGGAACAGGAGTGGGAACAACGGGAATGGTGGGATTAACGGGAATGGGAATAGTGGGAATGATGGGGATGACAGCAATGGGAATAATGGTGGGAATGGCAATGGGAATAACGGGAATGATGGGAATAACGGGAATAAAGCGAATGGGAATAAGGGAAATGGGAATTATGGGAATTAATGGGGATAATTGGAATGATGGGAATGACAAGAATTAATGGGAATGGGAAGGAGAACAGAAGAATCGATGGGAATGTTGGGAATGACAACAGGAATGATGGGAATGATGGGAATGATGGGAATGATGGGAATAGGAGTAACGGGAATGATGGGAACAGGAATAATGGTGGGAACGACATCGGGAATAATGGGAAAGATCGGAAAAACGGGAACAAAAATGGTAGGAATGATGGGAACAATGGGAACAATGGGAATGAGAATGGGAATAACGGGAATGACAGTGGGGATAATGGGAATAATGGGAATGGTGGCAATGGGAATGATGGGAATGATGGGAATGACAATGGGAATGATGGGAATGGGAATGATGGGAATACTGACAATGGGAATGGTGGGAATGATGGGATTGGCGGGAATGACGATGGGAATGGTAGGAATGGGAGCAGGAATGGTGGGAATGATGGGAAGAACGGGAATGGAAATGGGAGTGATGAACATGGGAATATTGGGAATAACAGGGATGGTGGGAACGGGAAGAACAGGAAAAATGACAATGGTGGGAAGAGGAATAATGGGAATGGGAAGAGGAAAAACAGGAATGAAGGGAACGGGAATGTCGGGAATAACGGGAATAATAGGAAGGGGAATTAATGGGAATAACAGTGGGAACGACGCTGGGAATGATGGGAATGATGGGAATGATGGGAATGATGGGAATGATGGGAATGATGGGAATGATGGGAACGACGACAGAGGGAATGACGACAACAGCGGGAACGACAGCAGGAACGACAACGGGAATGACCGCGGCGGGAACGATAACAACAGCGGGAAGGACAACGGGAACGACCGCAGCAGTAATGACAACGGGAATGACAACAACGGGAATGACGATGGGAATGACAGCGGGAATGACGACAGCGGGAACGACCGCAACGGCAGGAACGACCACGGGAATGACAACGGGAACGACCACGGGAATGACTACGGAAGGAATGACAATGGGAATGATGACAACGGGAATGACAATGGGAATGACAACGGGAATGACAGCGGGAATGACGACAGCGGGAATGACAATGGGAATGACAGTGGGGATGACAGCGGGAATGTCGGGAATGACGATGGGAATGACAGCGGGAATGACGACAGCGGGAATGACAATGGGAATGACAGTGGGGATGACAGCGGGAATGTCGGGAATGACGATGGGAATGACAGCGGGAATGACGACAACGGGAGTGACAACGGGAATGATGACAACGGGATTGGTGGTAGTGGTGGGAAATACGGGAATGGGAATGGTGGGAATGACAATGGGAATAACAGGAATGATGGGAATGATGGGATTAACAGGAATGGGACTGATGGGAATGATGGGAATGGGAATGATGGGAGTGATGGAATTAACAGGAATGGGAATGGGAATTATGGGAATGATGGGGACGGGAACGGTGGGAATGACAATGGGAATAACGGGAATGATGGGAATGACAGGAATGGGAATGGTGGGAATGATGGGAATAACGGCAGGAATTATGGGAATAACGAGAATGGGAATGGCAACGGGAATGACGGCAATGGGAATGACAGTAATGGAACAGGAGTGGGAACAACGGGAATGGTGGGATTAACGGGAATGGGAATAGTGGGAATGATGGGGATGACAGCAATGGGAATAATGGTGGGAATGGCAATGGGAATAACGGGAATGATGGGAATAACGGGAATAAAGCGAATGGGAATAAGGGAAATGGGAATTATGGGAATTAATGGGGATAATTGGAATGATGGGAACGACAAGAATTAATGGGAATGGGAAGGAGAACAGAAGAATCGATGGGAATGTTGGGAATAACAACGGGAATGATGGGAATGAATGGGAATGATGGGAATAGGAGTAACGGGAATGATGGGAACAGGAATAATGGTGGGAACGACATCGGGAATAATGGGAAAGATGGGAAAAACGGGAACAAAAATGGTAGGAATGATGGGAACAATGGGAACAATGGGAATGAGAATGGGAATAACGGGAATGACAGTGGGGATAATGGGAATAATGGGAATGGGATGATGGGAATTATGGGAATGATGGGAATTATGGGAATGATGGGAATGGGAATAACGGGAATGACAGTGGGGATAATGGGAATAATGGGAATGGTGGCAATGGGAATGATGGGAATGATGGGAATGATGGGAATGATGGGAATGGGAACTGAACAGGAATGGGACCAGGAATGGGAATAACAGGAATGACAGCAGGAATGTTGGGAATGGGAATGATGGGAATGATGGGAATGACAATGGGAATGATGGGAATGGGAATGATGGGAATACTGACAATGGGAATGGTGGGAATGATGGGATTGGCGGGAATGACGATGGGAATGGTAGGAATGGGAGCAGGAATGGTGGGAATGATGGGAAGAACGGGAATGGAAATGGGAGTGATGAACATGGGAATATTGGGAATAACAGGGATGGTGGGAACGGGAAGAACAGGAAAAATGACAATGGTGGGAAGAGGAATAATGGGAATGGGAAGAGGAAAAACAGGAATGAAGGGAACGGGAATGTCGGGAATAACGGGAATAATAGGAAGGGGAATTAATGGGAATAACAGTGGGAACGACGCTGGGAATGATGGGAATGATGGGAATGATGGGAATGATGGGAATGATGGGAATGGGAACAAGAATGGCAGGACTAGGAAGAATGGGAATGATGGGAATGATGGGAATAACAGGATTGGGAATGGGGATGGGAATTAGGGGAATTTGGGAATTATGAGAATAGTGGGAATGATGGGAACAACAGGAATGGGAATGGCGGGAATAATGGGAATAATGGGGAAAACGGGAATGGGAATGATGGGAAAATGCAAAAAAAAATACCAGGAAACGCCAGGAAAATCCCGGAAAACCATGAAAAATCGCAGAAAATCCAGGAAAAATCTCAGAAAATCCTGGAAAATCCAAAAAAAGTCCCAGAAAACCATGGAACATCCTGGAAAAATCCCATAAAACCATGAAAATCACAGGAAAATCCCATCAAAATCCTGGGAAAATCCAGGGAAAATCCCAAAAAACTTATGAAAAATGCTGGAAAAATCCCAGAAAATCCTGGGAAATCCTGGGAAAATCCTGGAAAAATGCCACAAAACCCAGAAAGAATCCCAGAAAAATCCCAGAAAAATTCCATTTAAAAATTCCATTCAGAAAACCATGAAAAATCCCAAAAAATCCCCAGAAAATAATGAAAGATTCTGGAAAAATTCTGGGAAAAAAAAATCACAGAAAATCCAATTAAAAATCTCATGAAAATCCCGGAAAGTCCTGGAAAAGTCCTGGAAAAGCCAGAGAAAACACAGAAAAATCCCAAAAAATGCTGAAAAAATCCCATAAAAAAATCCTGGAAAATCCCAGAAAAATCATAAAAAACCATGGAAAAATCCCATAAATCCCCTCAAAAAAATCTCAGAAACTCTCATAAAATCCAAAAAAAAAGCCATTAAAATCCCATTTAAAAATCGCAGAAAATCATCAAATATCCCAGAAAATAATTTAAAATCCCAGAAAAATTCATTGAAAATCCAATAACTCCCCCCAAAAAATCCCACAAAAATCCAGGACATTCCCCAAAAAAATCCTGGGAAAATGCCGGAAAAAAATAATCATAAAAAATCCCTTAAAAATCTCATTAAAATTCCAGAAAATTCAAGACAAATCCAAGAAAATCCAGGAAAAATCCCGGAAAAATCCCAGAAAATCCCAGAAAATCCCTTTAAATCTCCCTAAAGTTCCCAAAATTGGGAATTCTCACCGATGGTTTTGATGACGGCCTCCTGGAATTTGGTCTCCTCGAGCTGCCGGGATTTTTGGGAATTGGCGGCTCTGGAATTCCCGGAATTCCCGGCCAGGGCGAGGTCGATGCTGAGGCGCAGCTGCCGCAGGAGGGTGTTGAACACCTCCAGAACCGTGGGGCCTGGAAAAAAAAAAAAAAAACGGGAATTTTGGGAATTCTGGGCATTCCGGAAATTTGGGAATTGCAGAAAGCCCCGGAAAATCTGGAAAAAGTCTTGGAAATTCCAAAAAAATCCTGGAAAATGTTGGAAAACGCCTTAAAATAGTGGGAAAATCACACAAAAAAATCCAAGAAAGATGCCATGAAATTGTGGAAAATTTGGGAAAAATCCCAGAAAATCATGGAAAATCCCAAAATATCCCAGTAATTCCCAGAAAAATAATGAATAATCCTGGCAAAATCCAGGAAAATCCCAGGAAATCATCAAAAAACCCCAAGAGCTCCTCCCAGACCCTTTCCGGAATTCCCGGAATTCCCGGCCAGGGCGAGGTCGATGCTGAGGCGCAGCTGCCGCAGGAGGGTGTTGAACACCTCCAGAACCGTGGGGCCTGGAAAAAAAAAAAAAAAAACGGGAATTTTGGGAATTCTGGGCATTCCGGAAATTTGGGAATTGCAGAAAGCCCTGGAAAATCTGGAAAAAGTCTTGGAAATTCCTGGAAAATCTTGGAAAACGCCTGAAAATATTGGAAAAATCACACGAAAAATCACAAAAAATCCAAGAAAGATGCCATGAAATTGTGGAAAATTTGGGGAAAATCACAGAAAAATAGTGGGAAAATCACACAAAAAAATCCAAGAAAGATGCCATGAAATTGTGGAAAATTTGGGAAAAATCCCAGAAAATCATGGAAAATCCCAAAATATCCCAGTAATTCCCAGAAAAATAATGAATAAAATCACAAAAAATCCAAGAAAGATGCCATGAAATTGTGGAAAATTTGGGGAAAATCACAGAAAATCATGGAAAATCATGGAAAATCCCAGTAATTCCCAGAAAAATAATAAAAAATCCTGGCAAAATCCAGGAAAATCCCAGGAAATCATCAAAAAACCCCAAGAGCTCCTCCCAGACCCTTTCCCCAATGGAATTTTGGGGAATTTTTCCCAACCCCTTCCCGAATTTTGGCGAAATGTTGGGAATGTTTGGGTGGCGGCGGCCTCGGAGAGCACGGCCACGATGCCGGAAATCCCAAGAAATCCCAAAAACCCCAGAAAACTTCCAAAAAACCCCAATAATCCCAGAAAATCTTGGACAAATTTGGGACAAAATCACGAAAAATCCCAGGAAAATCCCTGAAAACCACGAAAAATCCTAGAAAAATCAAAACAAATCCCAGAAAAATCCCAAATCATACCAGAATAATAATATAAAAATCCTGGGATCTTGGAAATATCCTGGAAAATCATAAAAAATTTATTTAAAAAATCATAGAAAATCCTGCAAAAATCACAAAAAATCCCAGGAAAATCCCAGAAAAATCCCTTAAAATCCCAGAAAATCTTGGAAATATCCTGGAAAATCATAAAAAATTTATTTAAAAAATCATAGAAAATCCTGGAAAAATCACGAAAAATCCCAGGAAAATCCCAGAAAAATCTCCAAAATCCCTTAAAAACCATGAAAAATCCCCAAAATTTCCAGAAAAATCCCAGACACTTTCCCAAACCCCCTTCCACGATCCCCTTCCGGAATTTCCCCGGGAATTTTGGGAATTCTTTGGGTACCGACGGCACCAGTGGCGGCGGCCTCGGAGAGCACGGCCACGATGCCGGAAATCCCAGAAAATCCCAAAAATCCCAGGAAAAAACCTCCCAGATCTTCTCCCCAGCCTCCTCCCGAATTTCCCCGGGAATTTTGGGAATTGTCCGGGTACCGACGGCGCCGGTGGCGGCGATGGCGGCGGCCTTGGAGAGCACGGCCACGATGCCGGAAATCCCAGAAAATCCCAAAAATCCCAGGAAAAAACCTCCCAGATCTTCTCCCCAACCTCCTCCCGAATTTCCCCGGGAATTTTGGGAATTCTTTGGGTACCGACGGCGCCGGTGGCGGCGATGGCGGCGGCCTCGGAGAGCACGGCCACGATGCCGGAAATCCCAGAAAATCCCAAAAATCCCAGGAAAAAACCTCCCAGATCTTCTCCCCAGCCTCCTCCCGAATTTCCCCGGGAATTTTGGGAATTGTCCGGGTACCGACGGCGCCGGTGGCGGCGATGGCAGCGGCCTCGGAGAGCACGGCCACGATGCCGGTGCGCACGGGCGCGGCGCTGCGGCTGTTGGCGTCCAGGTGGCTCAGGAGCTGCTGGATCACCAGGTGGGAATGCTGGGGCTGCAAAAACCGCAAGGCCGGCTCGGAATTCCGGGAAAAATCCCAGAAAACCCAGGAGAAATCCCAGAGGAATGGTGAAAATCCCCCCAGAATCCCAGGAAAATCCCCGAGAATCCCGGAAAATCCAAGAGAAATCCTGAGGATCCTGGAGAAATTTCCACTTTTTTTTTCTGGAATTTCTGCACTTTTTCCCCGGAATCCCCATGTTTTATCCCAGAATTCCTGTTTTCCAGAATTCCCACATTTTCTCCCAGAATTCACTTTTTTTTCCCAGAATTCCTGGTTTTTCCCAGAATCCCCACATTTTCTCCCAGAATTCCCACATTTTCTCCCAGAATTCACTTTTTTTTCCCAGAATTCCTGGTTTATCCCAGAATTCCCGTTTTTTCCCCAGAATTCCCACATTTTTTCCCAGAATTCCCTTTTTTCCCCAGAATTCCCACATTTTCTCCCAGAATTCCCGTTTTTCCCAGAATCCCAGTTTTTTCCCCAGAATCGCCACATTTTTTCCTGGAATCCCTGAGGTTTTCCAGCTGTAATTTCCACTTTTTTCCCTGGAATTCCCGTTTTTCCCCAGAATTCCCACATTTTCCCGTTTTCCCACCTGGATGGAGAACATGATGATCCGGAAGCAGCCGCGGGCGAACACCTGCGGCTCCCACAGGGCGTGGCTGTCCAGGTGCCTGCACAAAACACCCAAAAATCCCCTTTTTTTTCCTCAAAAAATCCCCCATTTTTTCTCCAAACCCCCCCCCATTTTCCCCCATAAATTGCATTTATTTTTCCCAAAAAATCCCCATTTCCCCCCCCCAAAAAAATCCCCATTTTCTTCCAGTAATTCACTTTTTTCCCCTCAAGAATCCCCAATTTTTCCCCCAGAAATTCCATGCTTTTCCCCAATCAATTCCCATTTTTTCCCCAAACAATCCCGTTTCTTCCAGAAATTCCCTCTTTTTCCCCCCATAAATCCCCCATTTTTGCCCCCATAAATTCCCAATTTCCTCTCCAGAAATCTCCATTTTCCCCCCCAAAAATTTCCCAATTTCCCCCCCCAAAATCTCCATTTTTCCCCCAAAAATCCCATTTTTTCTCCAGAAATTCCCCAATTTACAGAATTTCTAACAATTTTTCCCCCAGAAATTCCATGCTTTTCCCCAATCAATTCCCATTTTTTCCCCAAACAATCCCGTTTCTTCCAGAAATTCCCTCTTTTTCCCCCCATAAATCCCCCATTTTTGCCCCCATAAATTCCCAATTTCCTCTCCAGAAATCTCCATTTTCCCCCCCAAAAATTTCCCAATTTCCCCCCCCAAAATCTCCATTTTTCCCCCAAAAATCCCGTTTTTTCTTCAGAAATTCCCCAATTTACAGAATTTCCAGGCTTTCCCCCATAAATTCCCATATTTTTTTCAATAATTCCCATTTTCCCCCCAAAAAATCACCATTTTCATCCAATAATCCCCATTTTTCCCCAAACAATCCCCTTTTTCTTCCACAAATTCCCTTTTTCCCCATAAATGCCCATTTCTCCCCATAAATCCCGTATTTTTCTCCCACAAATTCCCATTTTCCTCCAATTTTTTCCCCGATAAATCCTAATTCTTTCCCCCGTAAATCCTATATTTTTCTCCCATAAATTCACATTTTCCTCCCCTTTTTTCCCCCCATAAATCCCATTTTTTTCCCATAAATCCCCATTTTTCTCCCATATTTTCCCCCCATAAATCCCCATTTCTTCCCAATAAATCCCCTATTTTTTTCCCATAAATCCCCATTTTTCTCCCATACTTTCCCCCCATAAATCCCATATTTTTCCCATAAATTCCCGTATCCTCCCATATTTTCCCCCATAAATCCCCATTTTCCCCCCATAAATCCCCATTTTTTCCCACTATATCCCCCTTTTTTTCCCATAAATTCCCATTTTTCTCCCATATTTTCCCCCCATAAATCCCCATTTTCCCCCCCTAAATCCCATATTTTTTCCCATAAATTCCCATTTTCCTCCTATTTTTCCCCCCATAAATCCCCATTTTTTCCCACTATATCCCCCTTTTTTTCCCATAAATTCCCATTTTTCTCCCATATTTTCCCCCCATAAATCCCCATTTTTCCCTCCATAAATCCCGTATTTTTTCCCATAAATTCCCATTTTCCTCCCCATTTTTCCCCCAAAAATCCCCATCTTTTCCCCCATAAATCCCCATTTTCCTCCCATATTTTCCCCCAAAAATCCCATATTTTTTTCCAAAAATTCCCATTTTTTCCCCAAATTTTCCCCCATAAATCCCCATTTTTTCCCAATAAATTCCCTATTTTTTCCCCACATTTTCCCCCAATAAATCCCCAAATTTCCCCCCACAAATCCCCATTTTTCCCCCATAAATCCCAATTTTCCCCATTTTCCCCCCACAGATCCCCGCGCTCCCCGCGCTGTTCCCGTGGTTTATCGCCGGCGCTGGCACTGACACCAGGACGGGCCGCAGGGCGTTCTTGATGTTGCCGAAGGCGGCGCGGCCCAGCAGCTCCCAGCCCCTCCCAAGCCAGCTCCCAGGGGCTCTCCTGCGCCTCCGCAGCCTGCAGCGGCGACGGAGAGCGGCTGCGCCCGCCCCGCAGGCAGCCGGCACGGCGGGATAGCGGGATAGCGGGATAGCGGGGTAACGGGATAGCGGGATAACGGGATAGCGGGGACGGGGATGGGAATGGGAATGGGAACGGGAATGGGAACGGGAACGGGAACGGGAACGGGAATGGGAACGGGAACGGGAACGGGAACGGGAATGGGAACGGGAACGGGAACGGGAACGGGAATGGGAACGGGAACGGGAACGGGAACGGGAATGGGAACGGGAACGGGAACGGGAACGGGAATGGGAACGGGAACGGGAACGGGAACGGGAATGGGAACGGGAACGGGAACGGGAACGGGAATGGGAACGGGAACGGGAACGGGAACGGGAATGGGAACGGGAACGGGAACGGGAACGGGAATGGGAACGGGAACGGGAACGGGAACGGGAATGGGAACGGGAACGGGAACGGGAACGGGAATGGGAACGGGAACGGGAACGGGAACGGGAATGGGAACGGGAACGGGGATGGGAATGGGAATGGGAACGGGAATGGGAACAATAACGGGAATGGCAACAGGAATAGGAACAGGAACAACAACAGGAATGATAACGGGAATGGGAACGGGAACAATGGGAATAACGGGGATGGGAGTGACAGAAATGATAACGGGAATGGGAACAGGAATAACGGGAATGATAACAGAAATGGGAACGATGGGAATGATGGGAATAACGGGGATGGGAACGGGAATGGGAACAGGAATAATGGGAATGGGGATGGGAATGGGAAGGGAATAACAGGAATGGGAACGGGAATAATGGGAATGATAACAGGAATGGGAATGGGAATAATGGGAATGATAACAGCAATGGGAATGGGAACGGGAATAGGAACGGGAATGGGGACAGGAATAATGGGAATGGGAACGGGAATGGGAACAATGGGAATGACAGGAATGGGAATGGGAACAACAGGAAATAATGGGAACAACGGGAGGAATGGGAATGGGAAGGGGAAAGGGAATAACGGCATGAAAACCAGGAATGGTAACCGGAATAATGGTGAGAAATATGGGAACGGGAATGAACAAGGGAATGGGAACGGTAATGGCAACAGGAACCGAAAACGGGAACGGGAATGGGAACGGGAATGGGAACGGGAATGGGAACGGGAATGGGAACGGGAATGGGAATGGGAACGGGAATGGGAACGGGAATGGGAACGGGAATGGGAACGGGAATGGGAACGGGAACGGGAATGGCGGGACAAACAGGAACGATGGGGAGAATAACGAGAACAAAGAATGGGATTAATGGAAATAATGGAAAGAATGGGAAAAGGAATTGGAATGGGAATAACAGGTACGGGAACGATGGGAATGATTTCCCATCCCCTTCCCACTTTTCCCACCCCATCCCCACTTTTCCCTCCTCATTCCCACTTTTCCAATCCCCACATCAACTTTTCCACCCCCATCCCCATTTTCCCACCCCTTCCCACTATTCCCACCCCATTTCCATTTTCCCACCCCATTCCCACTTTTCCCTCCTCATTCCCTCTTTTCCAATCCCCACATCAACTTTTCCCCCCCCATCCCCACTTTTCCCTCCTCATTCCCTCTTTTCCAATCCCCACATCAACTTTTCCCCCCCCATCCCCACTTTTCCCTCCTCATTCCCTCTTTTCCAATCCCCACATCAACTTTTCCCCCCCCATCCCCACTTTTCCCTCCTCATTCCCTCTTTTCCAATCCCCACATCAACTTTTCCCCCCCCATCCCCACTTTTCCCTCCTCATTCCCTCTTTTCCAATCCCCACATCAACTTTTCCCCCCCCATCCCCACTTTTCCCTCCTCATTCCCTCTTTTCCAATCCCCACATCAACTTTTCCCCCCCCATCCCCACTTTTCCCTCCTCATTCCCTCTTTTCCAATCCCCACATCAACTTTTCCCCCCCCATCCCCACTTTTCCCTCCTCATTCCCTCTTTTCCAATCCCCACATCAACTTTTCCCCCCCCATCCCCACTTTTCCCTCCTCATTCCCTCTTTTCCAATCCCCACATCAACTTTTCCCCCCCCATCCCCACTTTTCCCTCCTCATTCCCTCTTTTCCAATCCCCACATCAACTTTTCCCCCCCCATCCCCACTTTTCCCTCCTCATTCCCTCTTTTCCAATCCCCACATCAACTTTTCCCCCCCCATCCCCACTTTTCCCTCCTCATTCCCTCTTTTCCAATCCCCACATCAACTTTTCCCCCCCCATCCCCACTTTTCCCTCCTCATTCCCTCTTTTCCAATCCCCACATCAACTTTTCCCCCCCCATCCCCACTTTTCCCTCCTCATTCCCTCTTTTCCAATCCCCACATCAACTTTTCCCCCCCCATCCCCACTTTTCCCTCCTCATTCCCTCTTTTCCAATCCCCACATCAACTTTTCCCCCCCCATCCCCACTTTTCCCTCCTCATTCCCTCTTTTCCAATCCCCACATCAACTTTTCCCCCCCCATCCCCACTTTTCCCTCCTCATTCCCTCTTTTCCAATCCCCACATCAACTTTTCCCCCCCCATCCCCACTTTTCCCTCCTCATTCCCTCTTTTCCAATCCCCACATCAACTTTTCCCCCCCCATCCCCACTTTTCCCTCCTCATTCCCTCTTTTCCAATCCCCACATCAACTTTTCCCCCCCCATCCCCACTTTTCCCTCCTCATTCCCTCTTTTCCAATCCCCACATCAACTTTTCCCCCCCCATCCCCACTTTTCCCTCCTCATTCCCTCTTTTCCAATCCCCACATCAACTTTTCCCCCCCCATCCCCACTTTTCCCTCCTCATTCCCTCTTTTCCAATCCCCACATCAACTTTTCCCCCCCCATCCCCACTTTTCCCTCCTCATTCCCTCTTTTCCAATCCCCACATCAACTTTTCCCCCCCCATCCCCACTTTTCCCTCCTCATTCCCTCTTTTCCAATCCCCACATCAACTTTTCCCCCCCCATCCCCACTTTTCCCTCCTCATTCCCTCTTTTCCAATCCCCACATCAACTTTTCCCCCCCCATCCCCATTTTCCCACCCCTTCAGCGATGCCCCTCCCCAGCCCTTCCCGCGGCCCCGGAATTCCGCGGATGGATCCCGGCGCCGCTGCCACCTCTCGGCGCCGTCGGCCTGCTGCAGGTTGAAGAGCAGCGAGGGCACGATCTTGTCCATGTGCTGCGGCTCCCAGATGTTGGCCTGCAGCTCGTCGTTCACCGTCTTCCGCACCACGCCCTGCAGGCCCCTGATCCCCGACATCCGGATCCTGCCGGAAACTCCCGCCATTCCCGCCGAATCCGCCCCGTCACAAGTGCCCCCCGACCGCCAATGCTTTTCCCAGCCACAAATCCCTTCCCGATCCCAAAATCTTATCCCAGTCCCAAATTATTTACCTGATCTCAAATCCTTTCCCAATCCCAAATCCCTTCCTGATCCCAAATCCCTTCTTGATCCCAAATTATTTTCCTGATCCCAAATCCCTTCCAATCCCAAATCCCTTCCCGATCCCAAAATCTTATCCCAGTCCCAAATTATTTACCTGATCTCAAATCCTTTCCCGATCCCAAATCCCTTCCAATCCTAAATCCTTTCCCAATCCCAAAATCTTCTCCCAGTCCCAAATCCCTTCCTGATCCCAAATCCCTTTCAATCCTATATCCTTTCCCAATCCCAAAAGCTTCTCCCCGTCCCAAATTATTCTCCTGATCTCAAATCCTTTCCCGATCCCAATTCTTTTCCTGATCCCAAATCCTTTCCCAATCCCAAATCCCTTCCAATCCTAAATCCTTTCCCGATCCCAAAATCTTCTCCCAGTCCCAAATTATTCTCCTGATCTCAAATCCCTTCCCAATCCCGAATTCTTTTCCCAGTCCAAAATCCCTTCCCGATTCCAAATTCTTTTCCCGATCCCAAATTCTTCTCCCAGTCCCAAATTATTTACCTGATCTCAAATCCTTTCCCAGTCCCAAATCCCTTCCAATCCTAAATCCTTTCCCGATCCCAAAATCTTCTCCCAGTCCCAAATTCTTTTCCTGATCTCAAATCCTTTCCCAATCCCAAATTCTTTTCCCAGTCCCAAATCCCTTCCAGATCCCAAATCCCTTCCCGATCCCAAAATCTTCTCCCAGTCCCAAATTCTTTTCCTGATCTCAAATCCTTTCCCAATCCCAAATCCCTTCCAATCCTAAATCCTTTCCCGATCCCAAAATCTTTTCCCAGTAACAAATCCCTTCCCGATCCCAAATTCTTTCCTGAACCCAAATTCTTTCCTGATCTCAAATTCTTCTCCCAATCAAAATTGTTTTTACTGATCCCAAAATCTTTTCCTGATTCCAAATTTTTTCCCATTCCCGAAATCTTTTCCCCATCCCAAATTCTTTCCTGATCTCGAATCCTTTCCCAATCCCAAATCCCTTCCAGATCCCAAATTCTTGTCCCAATCCCAAATCCCCTCCTTCCTGAGTTTTTTTTTCCCGCTGTTTTTCCCAATTTCCCGGTTGGTTTCCCCATTTTCCCATGGTTATGCCCATTTTCATGTTGTTGTTTTCCTGGTTTTTTTTCCCATTTGTCCCCGTCCTTTTCCTGGTCTTTTTTCCCATTTTTCCCATTGTTTTCCCTGTCATTTTTCCAGTTTTTCCTGGTTGTTTTCCCATGTGTTTTCCCAGTCCTTTTTCCCATTTTTCTCTGTTGTTTTCCCATGTTTTTCCCATCATTTTCCCCATTGTTTTCCCGTGTCTTTTCCCCATTTTTTCCCCATTGTTTTCCCAATTTTCCCCATTGTGTTCCCCATCATTTTTCCCATTGTTTTCCCCATTTTCCTCCCATTTTTCTGGTTGTCTTTCCCAATTTCCCGGTAATTCCTCCCATTTTTCTGATTGTTTTCCCCATTTCCCGTTTGTTTTCCCAGGTGGTTTTTCCCACGTGGTGTTTTCCCCATTTTCCTCCCATTTTTCTGGTTGTCTTTCCCAATTTCCCGGTAATTCCTCCCATTTTTCTGGTTCTCCCATTTTTCTGATTATTTCCCCCATTTCCCGTTTGTTTTCCCAGGTGGTTTTTCCCACGTGGTGTTTTCCCCATTTTCCAAGCAACTTTCCCCATTTCCCCAGCTGTTTTTCCCATTGTTTTCCCAGCCATTTTCTCCATTTCTCCTGGTCGTTTTCCCAGTTGTTTTCCCCATTTTTCCCATTGTTTCCCCAGCCATTTTCCCCATTCCTCCTGGTCGTTTTCCCAGTTGCTTTCCCCATTTTCCCAGCTCTTTTCCCCATTGTTTTTCCAGCCATTTTCTCCATTCCTCCTGGTCGTTTTCCCAGTTGCTTTTCCCATTTTTCCCATTGTTTTCCCAGCCATTTTCATTTTTCCCATTGCTTTCCCAGCCATTTTCCCGGTTGCTTTTCCCATTTCCCCAGCTGTTTTTCCCATTGTTTTCCCAGCCATTTTCCCCCTTTCTCCTGGTCCTTTTCCCGGTCGTTTTTCCCATTTTTCCCATTGCTTTCCCAGCCATTTTCCCCATTCCTCCTTGTCATTTTCCCGGTCGCTTTCCCCATTCTCCCGGTTCCTTTTCCCATTTTTCCCATTGCTTTCGCAGCCATTTTCCCCATTTCTCCTGGTCGTTTTCCCAGTTGCTTTTCCCATTTTTCCCATTGTTTTCCCAGCCATTTTCCCCATTTTCCTGGTCATTTTCTCAGCAGCTTTCCCCATTTTCCCAGCCGTTTTTCCCATTGCTTTCCCAGCCATTTTCCCCATTTCTCCTGGTTGTTTTCCTAGTTGATTTTCCCATTTTCCCGGTCGTTTTTCCCATTTTTCCCATTGTTTTCCCAACCATTTTCCCCATTCCTCCTGGTCGTTTTCCCAGTTGTTTTTCCCATTTTCCCAGTTGCTTTTCCCATTTTTCCCATTGTTTTCCCAGCCATTTTCCCGGTTGCTTTTCCCATTTTCCTGGTCATTTTTCCTATTTTCCCCATTGTTTCCCCAGCCATTTCCCCCCTCCCTCCTGGTCGTTTTCCCGGTTGCTTTCCCCATTTTCCCAGCTCCTTTCCCCGTTGCTTTCCCAGCCATTTTCCCCATTCCTCCTGGTCGTTTCCTGGTCGTTTTTCCCATTTTCCTGGTCGTTTTTCCCATTTTTCCCATTGCTTTCCCAGCCATTTTCCCAGTTGCTTTTCCCATTTTCCCAGCTGTTTTTCCCATTGTTTTCCCAGCCATTTTCCCCATTTCTCCTGGTCGTTTTCCCAGTTACTTTCCCCATTTTTCCCATTGTTTTCCCAGCCATTTTCCCGGTTGCTTTTTCCATTTTCCTGGTCATTTTTCCCATCCATTTTTCACCATTTTCCCCCCTTCCTCCTGGTCCTTTTCCCGGTTGCTTTTTCCATTTTCCTGGTCATTTTTCCCATTGCTTTTGCAGCCATTTTCCCCATTTCTCCTGGTCGTTTTCCCAGTTTTTTTCCCCATTTTTCCCATTGTTTTCCCAGCCATTTTCCCCCTTCCTCCTGGTCCTTTTCCCGGTTGCTTTTCCCATTTTTCCCACTGTTTTCCCAGCCATTTTCCCCATTCCTCCTGGTCGTTTTCCCAGTTGCTTTTCCCATTTTCCCGGCCGTTTTTCCCATTGTTTTCCCAGCCATTTTCCCCCTTCCTCCTGGCCCTTTTCCCGGTTGCTTTTCCCATTTTCCTGGTTATTTTTCCCATTGTTTTCCCAGCCATTTTCCCCCTTCCTCCTGGCCCTTTTCCCGGTTGCTTTTCCCATTTTCCTGGTTATTTTTCCCATTGTTTTCCCAGCCATTTTCCCCCTTCCTCCTGGCCCTTTTCCCGGTTGCTTTTCCCATTTTCCTGGTTATTTTTCCCATTGTTTTCCCAGCCATTTTCCCCCTTCCTCCTGGCCCTTTTCCCGGTTGCTTTTCCCATTTTCCTGGTCATTTTTCCCATTGCTTTCCCAGCCATTTTCCCCATTCCTCCTGGTCGTTTTCCCAGTTGCTTTTCCCATTTTCCCGGCCGTTTTTCCCATTGTTTTCCCATTGTTTTCCCTAGCCATTTTCCCCATTTCTCCTGGTCGTTTTCCCAGTTGCTTTCCCATTTTTCCCATTGCTTTCCCAGCCATTTTCCCGGTTGCTTTTCCCATTTTCCTGGTCATTTTTCCCATTGTTTTCCCAGCCATTTTCCCCCTTCCTCCTGGTCCTTTTCCCGGTTGCTTTTCCCATTTTTCCCACTGTTTCCCCAGCCATTTCCCCCCTCCCTCCTGGTCCTTTTCCCGGTTGCTTTCCCCATTTTCCCAGCTCCTTTCCCCATTGCTTTCCCAGCCATTTCCCCCCTCCCTCCTGGTCGTTTTCCCGGTTGCTTTTCCCATTTTCCCAGCTCCTTTCCCCGTTGTTTTCCCAGCCATTTCCCCCCTCCCTCCTGGTCGTTTTCCCGGTTGCTTTCCCCATTTTCCCAGCTCCTTTCCCCATTGCTTTCCCAGCCATTTCCCCCCTCCCTCCTGGCTGTTTTCCCGGTCGCTTTCCCCATTCTCCCGGTTCCCTTTCCCATTTTTCCGGCGGTTTTCCGGCGGTTTCCCCCGGACCTGTCGCGCACGTCGGGGTCGCCGTGTGCGGAGTGGCACATCTCGCTGAAGCGCGACACGAAGAAGTCGTAGCTGCGGTGGTACGAGGGCGTGTCCTCCTCGATGTTGGCAAACTTCACAAACTGGGAACGGGATAAAAACCCGGGAATGGCGGCCGGAACCGCCGGGAAAAACCCCGGGAAAAAACGCCCCGAAAATCGCCCCGAAAATCGCCCCCAATTCTGCCCCTAAATTGGCAATTTTCAGGTTTTTCAGGAAAATATCGCCCTGAAAATCGCCCCAGATTCCACCAGAATTGGGAATTCTGAGAATTGGGAATTCTGAGGTTTTTGAGAAAAAAAACACCCCCAAAAAATCGGCAGAAAAAGCGCCCTAAAAATTGCCCGGAATTCTGCCAAAATTTGAGAATTTGCAGGTTTTTCAGAAAGCATGGCCCCAAAAATCACCCCAAAAATTGCCCGGAATTCTGCCAAAATTTGAGAATTTGCAGGTTTTTCAGAAAGCATGGCCCCAAAAATCATCCCAAAAATTGCCTGGAATTCCACCCTGAATTGGGAAATTTCAGGTTTTTCAAGAAAAAATTGCCCCAAAAATCACTCCGAAGGACACCTGGAATTCCACCCTAAACCAGGAATTTTGGGGTTTTTGGGAAAAAATTGCTGGAAAAATCACCCCAAAAATTACTCAGTATTCTGCCCTGAATTGGGAATTCTGAAGTTTTAGGGGAAAAATTGCCCCCAAAAATTGTCAGAAAAATTGCCCCAAAAATTGCCCAGAATTCTGCCCAAAACTGGGAATTTTCAGGGTTTTTTTGGGGTAAAATCGCCCCAAAAATCACCCCCGAAAACCACCTGGAATTCCACCCTAAATCAGGAATTTTGAGGTTTTTTGGAAAAAAATCACCCCAGAAACCACCTGGAATTCCACCCTAAATCAGGAATTTTGAGGGTTTTGGGAAAAAATCACCCCAAAAACCACCTGGAATTCTGCCCTAAATTGGGAATTTTCTGGTTTTTGGGAAAAATTGGCTGGAAAAAATGGCCCCAAATATCGCCCTCAAAATTGGCTGGAATTTTGCCCAGCTTTTCCAGCTCTTTTACCTCAGAATTCCGGAATTCCACCCTAAATCAGGAATTTTGAGGTTTTTTGGAAAAAAATCACCCCAGAAACCACCTGGAATTCCACCCTAAATCAGGAATTTTGAGGTTTTTTGGAAAAAAATCACCCCAGAAACCACCTGGAATTCCACCCTAAATCAGGAATTTTGAGGGTTTTGGGAAAAAATCACCCCAAAAACCACCTGGAATTCTGCCCTAAATTGGGAATTTTCTGGTTTTTGGGAAAAATTGGCTGGAAAAAATGGCCCCAAATATCGCCCTCAAAATTGGCTGGAATTTTGCCCAGCTTTTCCAGCTCTTTTACCTCAGAATTCCCCCCTTTTCCCTGTTTTTTCCACCAGGAATTCTCCCATTTGTCCCTGGTTTTTCCCCCTTTTTATCCCAGGAATTCTGCCATTTTCCCCCCATTTTTTCCTGGGAATTCTCCCATTTTCCCCTATTTTTTCCCCTGAGAATTCCACTGTTTTCCCCCATGTTTTCCTCATGAATTCCCTGGTTTTTTTCCATCAGATTTTCCCATTTTTCCCAGGAATTCCCCATTTCCCCCGTTTTTCTCAAGAATTCTCCATTTTTCCCTGGGAATTCTGCTGTTTACCCCCCGGAATTCCCTGTTTTTTCCTGTGGAATTCCACTGTTTACCCCTGGTTTTATTCCTGGGAATTCTCCCATTTTCCCCCATTCTTTCCCCTTTTTTCACAAGAATTTCACCATTTTTCTTAGTTTTCCCTGGGAATTCCCCCATTATTCCCCATTTCTTTTTTCACAGGAATTCCCCCATTTTTCCCTTGGGAATTCCCCCATTTTCCCCCAATTGTCCTGGTTTTTTTCCCTCATTTTTTTCCCGGAAATCCCCAAGTATTTCCCCCAATTTTCCCCCCTTTTTTCCTGGGAATTCCACCATTTTCCCAATTTTTTTTTTTTCCTGGGAATTCCCCCTTTTCCCCCATTTTTCCACAGGAATTCCCCCATTTTTCCCTGGGGATCCCCCCATTTTTTCCCCTGGGAATTCCCCCATTTTCCCCATTTTTTTCACCCATTTTCCCCCTTGGGAATTCCCCTATTTTTCCTCAGGAATCCCCAATTTTTTCGCCTTTTTTTCCCTCTGGAATTCCAGTGTTTATCCTAATTTTCCCTGGGAACTCCCCCATTTTTTTCCCCATTTCCCCCCCCCCCCCCATTTTCCTGGGAATTCCACTGGTTTTTCTTATTTTCCCTGGCAACTCCCCCATTTTTCCCTGTTTCCCCCAGTTTTTCCCCTTTTTTCCCCATTTCCCCCCCTTTTTCCCCTGGGAACTCACCCGTTTTTTCCCCGTTTTTCCCCATTTTTTCCCCATTTTCCCCTCTTTTTTCCCCATTTCCTGCCCTTTTTCCCTGGGAACTCCCCCAGTTTTTCCCCTTTTTTCCCCATTTTCCCCTGTTTTTTCCCCTTTTTTCCCCCTTTTTCCCCATTCCCCCCCCTTTTTTCCCCTGGGAACTCCCCCCTTTTTCCCCTTTTTTCCCCATTTTCCCCTGTTTTTTCCCCTTTTTTCCCCCTTTTTCCCCATTCCCCCCCCTTTTTTCCCCTGGGAACTCCCCCCTTTTTCCCCTTTTTTCCCCATTTTCCCCTGTTTTTTCCCCTTTTTTCCCCCTTTTTCCCCATTCCCCCCCCTTTTTTCCCCTGGGAACTCCCCCCTTTTTCCCCTTTTTTCCCCATTTTCCCCTGTTTTTTCCCCTTTTTTCCCCCTTTTTCCCCATTCCCCCCCCTTTTTTCCCCTGGGAACTCCCCCCTTTTTCCCCTTTTTTCCCCATTTTCCCCTGTTTTTTCCCCTTTTTTCCCCCTTTTTCCCCATTCCCCCCCCTTTTTTCCCCTGGGGACTCCCCCATTTTTCCCCTTTTTTCCCCTTTTTTCCCCATTCCCCCCCCTTTTTTCCCCTGGGAACTCACCCATTTTTCCCCTTTTTTCCCCTTTTTCCCCCGGGAACTCCCCCATTTTCCCCTTTTTTCCCCAATTTCCCCATTTTTCCCCATTTCCTCCCCTTTTTCCCCTGGGAACTCCCCCATTTTTCCCCTTTTTTCCCCCAGTTTTCCCCCTTTTTCCCCTGTTTTTTCCCCTTTTTTCCCCATTTTCCCCATTTCCTCCCCTTTTTCCCCTGGGAACTCCCCCATTTTTCCCCTTTTTTCCCCCTTTTCCCCTGGGAGCTCACCTGTTTTCCCCTCTTTTTTCCCCATTTTCCCCATTTCCTCCCCTTTTTCCCCTGGGAACTCCCCCATTTTTCCCCTTTTTTCCCAAATTTCCCGTTTTTCCCCTTTTTTCCCCTTTTTCCCCTTTTCCCGTGGGAACTCCCCCGTTTTTCCCCTTTTTTCCCCATTTCCTCCCCTTTTTCCCTGGGAACTCCCCCATTTTTTCCCCATTTTCCCCCCATTTTTTCCCCATTTTTCCCTGTTTTTCCCGGTGTTTTTCCCGGTGTTTCCCGGTGTTTTCCCCGTGTGTTTCCCGGTGTTTTCCCCGTGCGTTTCCCGGGGTTTTTCCCGGTGTTTCCCCATGTGTTTCCCGGTGTTTTCCCGGTGTGTTTCCCCGTGTTTTTCCCGGTGTTTTCCCCGGTGTTTTCCCGGTGTTTCCCGTGTGTTTCCCCCAATTTTTCCCCGTGTTTTTCCCCGTGTTTTTCCCGGTGTTTTCCCGGTGTGTTTCCCGGTGTTTTTCCTGGTGTTTCCCGGTGTGTTTCCTGGTGTGTTTCCTGGTGTTTTCCCGGTGTGTTTCCCGGTGTGTTTCCCCGTGTTTTCCCCCATTTTTCCCGGTGTTTTTCCCGGTGCTTTTCCCAGTGTGTTTCCCCGTGTGTTTCCCCGTGTGTTTCCTGGTGGTTTTCCCCGTGTTTTTCCCGGTGTTTTTCCCGGTGTTTTTCCCGGTGTTTCCCGGTGTGTTTCCCGGTGTTTTCCCCGTCTGTTTCCCAGTGTTTTTCCCCATTTTTCCCGGTGTTTCCCCCATTTTTTCCCCGTGTATTTCCCGGTGTGTTTCCCAGTGTGTTTCCCGGTGTTTTTCCCGGTGTTTCCCCCATTTTCCCCGGTGTTTCCCGGTGTTTTTCCCGGTGTTTCCCGGTGTTTTTCCCGATGTTTCCCGGTGTTTTCCCGGTGTTTTTCCCGGTGTTTCCCCCATTTTCCCCGTGCGTTTCCCGGTGTGTTTCCCGGTGTTTTCCCCGGTGTGTTTCCCGGTGTTTCCCGGTGTTCCCCGCTCTCTCACGGAGTTGGTGCCGAGGATCTGCAGGTCGGGCTTGTCGGACTCCAGCAGCTTGGCCACCATGGTCAGGAAGCTCTCCACGAACAGGTTGATGCTCTGGCAGTGGCACGCCAGCAGCAGCTGGTCCAGCGCCTCCATGGCCACCCGCACCGACCTGCGACCGGGACCCGTTATCCCGGGATAAAACCTGTTATCCTGGGATAAAACCCGTTATCCCGGGATAAAACCCGTTATCCCGGGATAAAACCCGTCCCGGGGTGGATTATCCCAGGAAAAAAGGTATCCTGGGATTGGTTATCCCAGGAAAAAACCCATTCTGGGACCGGTTATCCCGGGATAAAACCCGTCCTGGGATCCGTTATCCCGGGATAAAACCCGTCCTGGGATCCGTTATCCCGGGATAAAACCCGTCCTGGCACCCGATATCCAGGGATAAAACCCGTCCTGGGATCCGTTATCCCGGGATAAAACCCATCCTGGCACCCGTTATCCCGGGATAAAACCCATCCTGGGATTGGTTTTCCCGGGATAAAACCCATCCTGGGATCCGTTATCCCGGGATAAAACCCGTCCTGGCACCCGTTATCCCAGGATAAAACCCGATAAAACCCGTCCCGGCACCCGTTATCCCGGGATAAAACCCGTCCCGGGATGGGCCGTCCCGGCAGGGTGAGGAAGCTCTCAGGCACGCCAGCAGCAGCTGGGACAGAGCCGCCATGGCCACCCGCACCGACCTGCAACCGGGACCCGATCCTGGGATTGGTTATCCCGGGATAAAACCTATCCTGGGATCCGTTATCCCAGGATAAAACCCATCCAGGGATTGGTTATCCCGGGATAAAACCTATCCTGAGATTGGTTATCCTGGGATAAAACCTATCCCGGGATAAAACGGGGTTATCACCGGGAATTGGCCCAGGAACCGGAGCGGGATTATCCCGGGAATCGGCGGAAGAATTGGCACAGTGTGGGCACGGGGTTTGGCACAGGAATTCCGGGAATTGGCACGGGAATGAACTTGGAAATGAGATCAGGGTTTAGCAAGGGAATTGGCACGGGAATTCCAGGGAAAATCCTGGGAATTGGCACAGGAATTCTGGGAATTAGCACGGGAACTGGCACGGGAATTCCAGGAATTGGCACGGGAGTTAGCTCGGGAATTGGCACAGGAATTCTGGGAATTAGCACGGGAATTAGCTCGGGAATTAGTATGGGAACCAGCATGGGAATTCCAGGAAAAATCCCAGGAATTAGCACGGGAATTGGCATGGGAATTATCACAGGAATTGGCACGGGAATTGGCACAGGAATTCTGGGAATAATTCCAGGAATTGGCACGGGAATTGGCATGGGAATTCCAGGGAAAATCCTGGGAATTGGCACAGGATTCTGGGAATTAGCACGGGAACTGGCACGGGAATTCCAGGAGTTGGCACGGGAGTTAGCTCGGGAATTGGCACAGGAATTCTGGGAATTAGCACGGGAATTACCTCGGGAATTAGCATGGGAATTAGCTCGGGAATCAGCATGGGAATTCCAGGAAAAACCCATCCTGGGATCCGTTATCCCGGGATAGAATTCCAGGAATTAGAGTGGGAATTGGCATGGGAATTGGCTCAGGATTCCAGGAATAATTCCAGGAATTGGCACGGGAATTGGCATGGGAATTCTGGGAGGAATTCCAGGAATTAGCACGGGAATTGCCACAGAATTCCAGGAATTAGAGTGGGAATTGGCATGGGAATTGGCTCAGGATTCCAGGAATAATTCCAGGAATTGGCACGGGAATTACCACAGGAATCTGGGAGTAATTCCATGAATTAGCGCAGAATTCCAGGAATTGGCATGGGAATTAGCACAGGAAATGGCACGGGAATTGGCACAGGAATTCTGGGAATAATTCTGGGAATTGGCACAGGAATTCTGGGAGGAATTCCAGGAATTAGCACGGGAATTGTCACAGAATTCCAGGAATTAGAATGGGAATTGGCATGGGAATTGGCATGGGAATTCTGGGAATAATTCTGGGAATTAGCACAGGAACATCAGGAATTCTGGGATCCAGGCCAGGAAAGAGGAAAAAGGAATTTGGGAATTACCTGGGAATTTTGGAAGGGATTGAGGGAAAGGAATCTGGGAATTTGGGAACTTAAGAATTTGTGTATTTGGGAAGGGATTTAGGGAAGGAAATCTGGGAATTCTGGGAGGGATTAGGGAAAGGAATTCGGGAGTTTGAGAATTTGGGAGTGGATTTAGGGAAAGGAATTTGGGAATTAATTTAGGAAAGGGAATTTGGGAGTCTGGGAATTTGGGAATTTGAGAAAGGATTACGGAAAGGAATTTGGGAATCTGGGAAGGGATTTATTAAAGGGAATTTGGGAATTGGGCAAAGGAAATCTGGGAAGGAAATTTGGGAAGGGATTTAGGGAAAGGAATCTGGGAATATGGGAATTTGGGAATTTGGGTAGAGATTGAGGGGAGGGAATCTGGGTATTTGGGAATGTGGGAAAAGAAATCTGGGAAGGAAATTGGGGAATCTGGGAAGGGATTTAGGGAAAGGATTCAGGGAATTTGAGATTTTGGGAATGGATTTAGGGAAAAGAATTTGGGAATGTGGGAAAGGAAATCTGGGAAGGGAATTTGGCAACCTGGGAATGGATTTGGGGAAGAGAATTTGGGAAGGGAAGCTGGGGATTTGGGAAAGGAATCTGGGAATGGACTTAGGAAAAGGAATCCGGGAATTCCGGGAGGGATTTGGGGAAGGGAATTTGTGAATTTTGGAAGAGAATTTGGGGATTTTGGAAGAGAACCAGGGAATTTGGGCATGTTGGGAATGGATTTAGGAAAAGGAAGGTGGGAATTTTGGGAGAGGTTTCAGGGAAGGGAATTTGGGAATCTGGGAATGGATTTAGGGAAGGAAATTTCGGAAAGGATTTAGGGAAGGGAATTTGAGAATCTGGGAATGGATTTAGGGAAGAGAATGTTGGGAATGGATTTAGGGAGGGGAATCTGGGAATTCTGGGAGGGATTTAGGGAAGGGAATACGGGAAGAAAACGTGGGGATTTGGGAATGTTGGGAACGGATTCAGGGAGGGGAATCTGGGAATTCTGGGAGGGATTTAGGGAAGGGAATTTGGGAATCTGGGAATGGATTTAGGGAAGGGAATGTTGGGAATGGATTCAGGGAAGGGAATCCGGGAATTCTGGGAGGGATTCAGGGAAGGGAATACGGGGAGAAAGCGTGGGGATTTGGGAATGTTGGGAACGGATTCAGGGAAAAGAATCCGGGAATTCTGGGAGGGATTCAGGGAAGGGAATTTGGGAATGTTGGGAAAGGATTCAGGGAGGGGAATCTGGGAATTCTGGGAGGGATTATGGGAAGGGAATCCGGGAAGAAAATGTGGGGCTGTGGGGATTTGGGAATGTTGGGAATGGATTTAGGGAGGGGAATCTGGGAATTCTGGGAGGGATTCAGGGAAGGGAATACGGGAAGAAAATGCGGGAATTTGGGAATGTTGGGAACGGATTCAGGGAGGGGAATCTGGGAATTCTGGGAGGGATTTAGGGAAGGGAATTTGGGAATCTGGGAATGGATTTAGGGAAGGGAATGTTGGGAACGGATTCAGGGAGGGGAATCTTGGAATTCTGGGAGGGATTTAGGGAAGGGAATACGGGAAGAAAACGCAGGGATTTGGGAATGTTGGGAAGGGATTTAGGAAAAGGAATCTGGGAATTCTGGGAATGGATTTAGGGAAGGGAATGTTGGGAACGGATTTAAGAAAAGGAATCCGGGAATTCTGGGAGGGATTTTTGGGAATGTTGGGAATGGATTCAGGGAATAGAATCCGGGAATTCTGGGAGGGATTTAGGGAAGGGAATACGGGAAGAAAATGCAGGAATTTGGGAATGTTGGGAATGGATTCAGGGAGGGGAATCTGGGAATTCTGGGAGGGATTCAGGGAAGGGAATACGGGAAGAAAACGCGGGAATTTGGGAATGTTGGGAATGGATTTAGGGAAAGGAATCCGGGAATTCTGGTAATTAGGGAATGTTGGGAATGGATTCAGGGAGGGGAATCTGGGAATTCTGGGAGGGGTTCAGGGAGGGGAGTCGGGGGAGAGGATTTGGGAATGCCGGGAACGCGGGCGGCGGATTCCCGGGAGCGCCGCGTGCCGCACCCGTATCGGTGGCGGCCGACGTCGCGCGTCAGGCGCTCGGACAGGTAGGCGCCGATGCGGTCGAGCTTCTCCGGCGCCGAAAGCGCGTAGAACGTCAGCTTCTCCATGTTGGACTTCACCAATCCCTCCTGGAATGATAACGGGAATGATAACGGGAATAACGGGATTGATAACGGGATTGATAACGGGAATGGGGACTCGGCTTCTCCATGTTGGACTTCACCAATCCCTCCTGGAATGATAACGGGAATGATAACGGGAATAACGGGATTGATAACGGGATTGATAACGGGAATGGGGACTCGGCTTCTCCATGTTGGACTTCACCAATCCCTCCTGGAATGATAACGGGAATGATAACGGGAATAACGGGATTGATAACGGGATTGATAACGGGAATGGGGACTCGGCTTCTCCATGTTGGACTTCACCAATCCCTCCTGGAATGATAACGGGAATGATAACGGGAATAACGGGATTGATAACGGGATTGATAACGGGAATGGGGACTCGGCTTCTCCATGTTGGACTTCACCAATCCCTCCTGGAATGATAACGGGAATGATAACGGGAATAACGGGATTGATAACGGGATTGATAACGGGAATGGGGACTCGGCTTCTCCATGTTGGACTTCACCAATCCCTCCTGGAATGATAACGGGAATGATAACGGGAATAACGGGATTGATAACGGGATTGATAACGGGAATGGGGACTCGGCTTCTCCATGTTGGACTTCACCAATCCCTCCTGGAATGATAACGGGAATGATAACGGGAATAACGGGATTGATAACGGGATTGATAACGGGAATGGGGACTCGGCTTCTCCATGTTGGACTTCACCAATCCCTCCTGGAATGATAACGGGAATGATAACGGGAATAACGGGATTGATAACGGGATTGATAACGGGAATGGGGACTCGGCTTCTCCATGTTGGACTTCACCAATCCCTCCTGGAATGATAACGGGAATGATAACGGGAATAACGGGATTGATAACGGGATTGATAACGGGAATGGGGACTCGGCTTCTCCATGTTGGACTTCACCAATCCCTCCTGGAATGATAACGGGAATGATAACGGGAATAACGGGATTGATAACGGGATTGATAACGGGAATGGGGACTCGGCTTCTCCATGTTGGACTTCACCAATCCCTCCTGGAATGATAACGGGAATGATAACGGGAATAACGGGATTGATAACGGGATTGATAACGGGAATGGGGACTCGGCTTCTCCATGTTGGACTTCACCAATCCCTCCTGGAATGATAACGGGAATGATAACGGGAATAACGGGATTGATAACGGGATTGATAACGGGAATGGGGACTCGGCTTCTCCATGTTGGACTTCACCAATCCCTCCTGGAATGATAACGGGAATGATAACGGGAATAACGGGATTGATAACGGGATTGATAACGGGAATGGGGACTCGGCTTCTCCATGTTGGACTTCACCAATCCCTCCTGGAATGATAACGGGAATGATAACGGGAATAACGGGATTGATAACGGGATTGATAACGGGAATGGGGACTCGGCTTCTCCATGTTGGACTTCACCAATCCCTCCTGGAATGATAACGGGAATGATAACGGGAATAACGGGATTGATAACGGGATTGATAACGGGAATGGGGACTCGGCTTCTCCATGTTGGACTTCACCAATCCCTCCTGGAATGATAACGGGAATGATAACGGGAATAACGGGATTGATAACGGGATTGATAACGGGAATGGGGACTCGGCTTCTCCATGTTGGACTTCACCAATCCCTCCTGGAATGATAACGGGAATGATAACGGGAATAACGGGATTGATAACGGGATTGATAACGGGAATGGGGACTCGGCTTCTCCATGTTGGACTTCACCAATCCCTCCTGGAATGATAACGGGAATGATAACGGGAATAACGGGATTGATAACGGGATTGATAACGGGAATGGGGACTCGGCTTCTCCATGTTGGACTTCACCAATCCCTCCTGGAATGATAACGGGAATGATAACGGGAATAACGGGATTGATAACGGGATTGATAACGGGAATGGGGACTCGGCTTCTCCATGTTGGACTTCACCAATCCCTCCTGGAATGATAACGGGAATGATAACGGGAATAACGGGATTGATAACGGGATTGATAACGGGAATGGGGACTCGGCTTCTCCATGTTGGACTTCACCAATCCCTCCTGGAATGATAACGGGAATGATAACGGGAATAACGGGATTGATAACGGGATTGATAACGGGAATGGGGACTCGGCTTCTCCATGTTGGACTTCACCAATCCCTCCTGGAATGATAACGGGAATGATAACGGGAATAACGGGATTGATAACGGGATTGATAACGGGAATGGGGACTCGGCTTCTCCATGTTGGACTTCACCAATCCCTCCTGGAATGATAACGGGAATGATAACGGGAATAACGGGATTGATAACGGGATTGATAACGGGAATGGGGACTCGGCTTCTCCATGTTGGACTTCACCAATCCCTCCTGGAATGATAACGGGAATGATAACGGGAATAACGGGATTGATAACGGGATTGATAACGGGAATGGGGACTCGGCTTCTCCATGTTGGACTTCACCAATCCCTCCTGGAATGATAACGGGAATGATAACGGGAATAACGGGATTGATAACGGGATTGATAACGGGAATGGGGACTCGGCTTCTCCATGTTGGACTTCACCAATCCCTCCTGGAATGATAACGGGAATGATAACGGGAATAACGGGATTGATAACGGGATTGATAACGGGAATGGGGACTCGGCTTCTCCATGTTGGACTTCACCAATCCCTCCTGGAATGATAACGGGAATGATAACGGGAATAACGGGATTGATAACGGGATTGATAACGGGAATGGGGACTCGGCTTCTCCATGTTGGACTTCACCAATCCCTCCTGGAATGATAACGGGAATGATAACGGGAATAACGGGATTGATAACGGGATTGATAACGGGAATGGGGACTCGGCTTCTCCATGTTGGACTTCACCAGCCCCCCCTGGAATGGGAATAATGGGAAAAATGGGAATAACGGGATTGATAACGGGAATGGGGACACGGCTTCTCCATGTTGGACTTCACCAGCCGAATAACGGGAATGGAAACGGGAATGGAAACGGGAATGGGGACACGGCTTCTCCATGTTGGACTTCACCAATCCCTCCTGGAATGATAACGGGAAAAATAACGGGAATGGAAACGGGAATGGGGACACGGCTTCTCCATGTTGGACTTCAGCAATCCCTCCTGGAAAAACGGGAATAATGGGAATAACGGGAAAAATAACGGGAATAACGGGAATGGGGACACGGCTTCTCCATGTTGGACTTCAGCAATCCCTCCTGGAAAAACGGGAATAATGGGAATAACGGGAAAAATAATGGGAATAACGGGAATGGGGACACGGCTTCTCCATGTTGGACTTCACCAGCCCCTCCTGGAATGATAACGGGAAAAATGGGAATAACGGGAAAACTGAAAGGAGTAACAGGAATAACAACAGGAAGGACAGCGGGAACGACGGCAGGAATAATGGGAATAACGGCAACGGGAATGACAACGGGAATAATAACGTCCGAAATTCCAAATTCCCAAACCCCAAATCCCCAAACCCCAAAACCTGCACCACAACCCGCAAATTCCCAAATTCCCAGAAAATCCCAAGAATCACCTCGTGGTCCTCAGGGTAGATGTTGTCCATGCATCCCCAAATCCCAAACCCCAAATCCCAAATTCCCAAATCCCAAACCCCAAATTCCCAGAAAATTCCAAATCCCAAACCCCAAAACTCCAAATCTCAAATCCTGAATCCCATTAAATCCCTAAATCCCTATTCCCAAAAATCCCAAACTCCCAAACCCGAAATTCCCAAACCCCGAACCCCAAAAATCCCAAATCCCAAAAATCCCAAAAACCCCAAGACTCCCACGGAATCCCCACCTCGGGGTCCTTGGGGTGGGTGTTGTTCATCCATCCCCAAATCCCCAAGCCTCAAATCCCAAATCTGCAAACCCCAAATCCCAAAAATCCCAAATCCCAAACCCCCCAAAAATCCCAGACCTCGGGGTAGATGTTGTCCATCCATCCCAAACCCAAACTCCAAACCCCAAAACCCCCAAACCCCAAATTTCCCAAATCCCAAGCCTTAAATCCAAAACCCGAAATTCCCAAACCCCAAATCCCCAAAATCCCAAATTCTAAATCCCCAAATTCCCAAAAACCCCAGAATTCCCAAAACCCCAAACCTCAGTGTAGGTGTTATCCATCCATCCATCCCTCCCAAACCGAAGCTCCCAAACCCCAAATCCCCCAAACCCCAAATCCCAAAAGTCCCAAATCTTGAATCCCAAATCCCAACCCCCAAAATCCCCAAAATCCCCAAACCCCAAACCCCAAAAATCCCAAATCCCGAACCCCAAACTCCCCATTCCCAAACCTCAAATCCCCAAATCCCAATTTCCAAATTTCCACCTGAAACCTTAGAGAAACCACAAATCCCAAACCCCAAAAATCCTAAATCTCAAACCCCAAATCCCAAACCTCAAATCCCAAAAACCCCAAAAATTCCAAATCCTAAATCCTAAACCCCAAAATTCCCAAAACCCCAAATCCCACACCTCGGGCTCCTCGGTGTAGATGTTGTCCATCCATCCCCAAACTCCAAATCCCAAACTCCAAACCCCAAACCCCAAATCCCCTAAATCCCAAATGCCGAACACGAAATGCCCCAAATCCCAGACCCCAAACCCCAAATCCCAAACACCAAAAAACCCAAATCCCAAAAACCCCAAAATTCCCGAAATCCCGCATCACACCCCAAAACCCCCCAAAATCCCCCAAATTCCCCCAATCCTGACCTCGGGGTCCTCGGGGTAGATGTTGTCCACCAGGCGCTTGTAGCGGGGCCGCAGCGCGCCGCAGCAGCCGCACAGCCCTGCGGAACAGCCGGACCAGAGCGGGATTGGGAAACCCGGGACAACCGGGAGAAACCGGGAGAAACTGGGGGAACCGGGGGGAACCCGGGACAACCGGGACAACCGGGACAACCGGGGGAACCCGGGGGAACCGGGAGAAACCACGG